ACATATTTGATATAAAAAGCAACACTGTTCCTGCTGAAACATAAGGAGATTTAGCATGGCACAGACCAAGTTAATGCATCAGTGGGATTTGACACAGAAATGAAGACGTATCTTCAACAGTACACTTATTTAGCTTATTTTAGTGTGTGCGTGCATAAAATATGCATCTAGGTGTAACACAGCAGGCTCAAAAATTATGTAGTATATCAAAAAACTGTAAAATGTTAATTAAGTCAGGCAAGATCCAGTTATAGGCTATTGTTATGTTTAACCTTTTACATCTAAATTTAGTAGAGATTTGTACAGAATGTGCTGGCTATATTGATTAAATGTAAGTAATGAAAAAAAGCAGACCCTCAGCTAAAATTAGGATATTTCTCTGTCACTAAATCTCCCTGTAAAACAGTTGTTCAATGTGTACTTACAAGAAAACATAGAAACATTTTTAATAAATAAGGAAAACCTTAAAAATAATAAATAAAATGTAAAACCCTCTATTTAGTGACAGAGCAGTAAACATGATTGTCATTTGTGGTTCCATTTATGCCTGGGAATTTAATATATATATATATATATAAATGGAGTGTCACACTGTGATATAAACTAGATTGTTGTAAATTGTGAGCCAACCATCATATTAAAACCCATGGATTAAGGAGAAAATGTCAAAAGAAAGCTGATTAAATTCTTTATGTATTTTGGATAGGAGCCGCAACAAGAGAAAAACTTTGATTTAACATTTACCTATGACTCAGTCTAATTCAAAGTACATTGAGGTTTACATGATGTTATTCAAATATCTTTAATATGCAAAAGTTTGTTTTTGATGATTACACCTTTGAACATACTTACATACGCGCCTACAAAACCTATTGGATACCAGCTTGTTGATAGCAGACCAACATAGCCTACGTTAACACAGCAGCCTGAAGTGTCCGAAATCAGATTTTGTTTGCCCATATGCAACCTGTATCTGATATTTTCATAACAGATCCGATTTTTTCCAATCAGACCCAGGCCACTTGGCTATGAGGTCCTGAATAAGAGATGAATCTGCTCTTTTTTAATGCGACCTGTGTCTGAACAGCCAGGTCGCCGTCATCCGACATGAACATTAATAATACTCAACAAAGGTCCCACTTCTGCGTCTTGCTATGCAGAAGCGGGAAGAAAACCAACAACCACGGTGGACGATAATGCGGAGAGCAGCCTTTTTTTTTTTTTAACAATCTTGAAAAGATTGAGTTTTTAAGGTTGGGAAAGATGGCTAGATTGGCTCCAGCTCTACAATCCATGTTTACTTCTGTAAACACAGTGAAAACTTGCTTGTGACGTCATTGCATCCTCTATTGCGAATGCGAAACACATGCATTGTATGAATGTAGTTCGCACAGGAGATCACATACAAGTCGCATATATGTGGAAAGGTAAACGACAACGGCAAAAAAAATAATAATAAAAAATAAAATAAAAAATCAGATTTCACAAAAAAGTAGGAATTGAGCTTTGAGGCCTGCAGTGTGAACATAGCCATAGACTTCTTTGTAAAGAGTTTGGAACAAAAACTGTCATAACTACTTTATGGTTGTAAACCATAAAATACAATGTTTTGGATTGTATATTCAGCAATACATTCAAAGAACAGAGAATGGTTTTAGTTTAAAAATATACAAATTAATTTTTTCTAAATTAAAAAATGCTGTTGAGGAATCTCCTTTTGGATTTTTAAGCAACAGCAACAATCACCAAACACACACACACAAAAAGACCATATACCAAGCATGTCTAGAATATAACATACATTTTTTTAGATTTAGTGAAGCTGTTAATCCTGTTAGGATAAAAGACAAAACGTTTATGATACTTTTGTACTCAGTTCCACAAGGTTTTCTCCCAAACACTTTTTAAAGAAAGACATTTCATATCCTAATTAGGGTCTTACAGATTCTTCATTTCCTATTCTCTTTCATCCATTCTTAGTGACCTCTTTTAGCGGTTGTCCACTGCCCTTAAAAACAAAGCCGCCACGAGCGAAAAGAAGATATTTTGGGTCCTTTCGGGGCCCCAGCATGTGTTTTTCAGTGCAATCTGAGGGCAGTCGTCTTGATGAAGTACCTCCCCCACCAGGTCATTAAGGCAGCCCTGGGAAAATTATGTTTAATGTTCGAGCTGCTGAATTCATAAATCATTTTTTTCTATCTTTTTTTTTTTTGCTGTACACCTGGCCTAGTTATAATGGTGCTAAATGCTAAATTCTGCCAGTTTTTATGAGGGCAGCAAGTTCCTTTTCTTCTATGAACTGAGATCATTCAGTTGCCATCTGTCAATTTTAGAAATCGTCTATCCATTCTCCTTGATCATAATCTTTGCATTGTATCCTTTGTGTTGCCAACAAACACGCCATCTTTGCTGTCCCCGTGTTCCTCCTCTGTGTCCTAATTTGTACGTTGCTTTTACAGCCTCACGTATTACAGCATCTCATTCTCTTTGTTTTGATTGATTTCTGTTTTTTTATGTTTCTGTGTTTTACGTTGCTCAGCTATCAGGATTATGCACCTGAAATCAAGTAAGACAAACCTGAAGGGACCCTTTTTCCCTGTAATACCATCTTTCTCATTTCCACCTCCTTATGAAACAAAATCTAAACCAAAAATCCATCTGGCTCGCACTCTCAATCATTAATGTGATTAATAGAGGGGCACTCGCTCATGCTAAAGACCACATTAGTGAGCCCACAATGCTGCAGCCTTGGATACACCATGCCTTCAGATTAGACACACAAGATAATGTTTAACCAGTTCCTGTATCATTACAGTGCAGTGCATGGACGTATTAGGGCTCTAAAGAAGAAATGGCACACACATCCATCATGTGATGGCTATTTTCTATAAGAAAATTAGGGCTCTATTTTAAATGGGTATTAAAATGATGGTTCAAATTCCAAGTTGAAATGGAGGAAAGTTTGAACTGCAAAATGGAACAAAGCTTGCCTGAAATAATATATCTTTAACCACAGTAATTATCAAAACCTTATTAGATTCACAGGAAGACAAATAACTGAGGCTGGTTTAAGAATTTTTTTTTAATCCCATTTCATTTTTGCCATGTTTACCTGAACATCTATTCAAAGTAGTGTTTATATGATGAAACTTTACATTTGCAAACTGTATAGAATCAAGTTTGGCACACAGTTTGTTTTTATTTATTTTTTTTATATAATGTAATTAATTAAAAAGTTATATGTACAGAACATAGATTCATGACACAGTGCAGTAAAATGTGTTTGTCACGAAAGTCTAATTGGTGAAAACCTTTCATGGTATAGTTCAAGGGGAGGACTGAAGATACAGAACTAAGTAAGGCTTAATAGGTTTGTTTTGGTGAAAACATTAAATATTTGGAAGTTGTTGGCTGAAAGAAAAAGAAAACCAGGCATGGAGATTAGTGGCAAAAAAAAATAGATTTTTATACAGAATCACAAAACCATCTGCTTAGACACAAGGAGGGAGAGAGAAAGGCAAGGCAGCCAGGTGAGGCAATCAGGAGCGAATGGGACACAGCTGAGGAGGATCAAGGTAGATTACTAAGCTGAAGAGGACTGGGAGGAAATCCTAAAAGCATAAAGATAAACATGTAGCTAGTTCCCAACAAATAACAAAAGATCACTATACTGTAGGAAAGGATATATAAAAACAATTAATAATACTTATAATAGGAGTAGAAAATACATACCATTTCCAAACAATGACATTATCTTCATCAGACATCATCTTGTAAACTGTAAAAGTTACAGAAATGGGCAAGGACTAAAAGAATAAACTAAGAATAGTAAAATACTGGAAAAAAACAATAAAACTTGAACCAAAGTACTTTGTATTATGACAGTTTGTTGCACAATGTTATTTAATTTTCTGAAATCTCTCCCCATGTGAAACAGTAGAAACTGGTGTGTTTAAAGGGAGAAATCCATCCAACACAACCAGAAATATAGGAATCCATCAACTTGTATAAATATTTGGGGTTAAATAGACAGAAAAGAGAGACTAAAAACAGTGATTGGCCCAAAACTTAAAGTCCAAATATCTCCTAATCCAAACATTTTTTTTTTTATATTGTATTTTAATATTATATTATGGATACCTTTACCTTATGATCAAGAAAAAAGAAAACATATTGGTAACTACAACAATAGTTCTGATAATGGTTCCATCCATGACTGGGATGAAGCCAAACAATGTGGGGACCCTCTAAGGAAACAAACATTCAGTTTTAATTAATCATTCTAATATTCTAAAATCAAGATAATTAAAAACAAGATCACGCATAGCGTTATAAACAATCAGACAGATTCACAACTATGTTCATAGCAATTTTGGTACTTGTGGTGTCATTTGCACTGTAGTCATTCAATTACAGGGATATACTAAAAATAGGATTAAATAAGTCTTCTAAATGCCAGATTGAGATGAGTCAGAAATAATTTTTAACTTGGCCCAACTTACTGCAGTCAGTTAGGCCAAGTTGACTGTGTCACCAAAATGACAAAAAGGAGCAGGTGGAAACAGAAACATAGGTACTTTTCTGAAAAGTGCCAGAAAGAAAGAGAGCTCACTATTATCAAGCATGTTCCCAAGGACTTTTATCTCAGTTAAGGCTTTAGCTTGAGAAAGAATGGAGACACTTATAAACGAGCCTTAGGCAATAAGCTTCCAAGCTGAAACTTACCCTTCCATAATCATGCACTGAAAAAATGTATTTTGTGCCCTTATTCATGTAAGCAATTATTTTAGATGCATACTTCTTTAAGCAGTTGACTACACTGGTCTCGCCCTAAGACACTTCTCTCCTATTCATTTGTTTTGTGAATCTATAGTTATTGTTTTAGATATTTGAGATTTTTATACTTCTTATCATCCTCAAAGTCCCAGATGCAGCTTAAGTCGCTTTACATGATTTAAATGTTAATTGGTTTGTAATGTAATGTTTTGTTTTAATTCTAGATCATGGGTGATTGGTGCTATTGCCTTGTTGTGTCTCCTTGGGCTAACCTGGGCTTTTGGCCTAATGTACGTCAATGAGAGCACAGTGGTCATGGCTTACCTCTTCACCATCTTCAACTCCCTGCAGGGGATGTTCATTTTCATCTTCCACTGTGTGCTGCAGAAGAAGGTAATGGATTGTTCTTCAAGTTCTATTATGTCAAATTATCAAAATGAAATGTTTTCTGGACACCATGCACACATATCTCAAATGCTTTAAAATGTAAGAGAAAACAAATTTCTAGCCTGCAGTAGATTTATAGTATTACCTACTCTTTGCTTGATAAATAAGTGTATAAGTTAACGATACTTAAAGGTATAGTGGAGGATGTTCTTTTTCCGGGTGGATCATCTACATAAGTGATCCTCCTAATTGTCAATCATTCTGGTGATATGTTTACGTAAGGCCGTCCTACTTGCTCGTCCCCATTTTCACTCACCGGTGGGGAGTCTGACATAGAGGAAAAATTGCAAATCTTCTTTCTTGAAGTAAGCTTGTTTAAGCGATGCAGACAGCAACCTGTAAACAGAGCGTGCACGAGAAGAAATGGATATGCATATTTTTTTTTTAAGTGGAGAGGGCGGGTCTTTTCAGAAATTCACGAAAATACTCCACTATACCTTCAAAACAATATAGACGTAAATTTGAATTATGTTTTTTGCAAACATGCTCTGCCTTTTACAATACTTTTCTGCAGGTGCGTAAAGAGTATGGGAAGTGCTTGCGAACTCATTGCTGCAGCGGCAAAAGTGTGGAAAGTTCCATTGGCTCTGTTAAGGGCAGCGCCTCTCGTGCTCCAGGGAGGTATTCTTCTGGCTCACAGGTTAAATAACCTTTTTAAATAATTCAAGTCTAATTTGATGCTCTGTGATGGTTATTTTTCTAGCATCTTTGAACAAATAGAAGCTTATAGATATTTGTGAATGCCCGGAGTTTAAGCAGTCAGCAAGCCCTCTAATAGCATAATAGTTTTACTGACGGGAAGTCAAGTAAGTTTTACATATTAATGGGAAAAGCACCTGATTACAGATGTTTAGAGGAATCATACAATTACTCTTTCTGTAAACATGCAAGACAGGTTTTAAAGCAATTGAAATTTTGCCTGATCGTTAAGGCGGAGAAGTGTTTAGTAAGCCAAAACCTATGAGTAAAACAAGCCAATCTGACTGTTATTTTTTTTTAAGGCAAAATTCTAGAATGAGCATTGACACTAAGACTGTAACTAAAATTTTGCCTACAGCTAAGTGAATAATTAGTAAAATATCTTTAAAAAAAATGTTACTAAGACATGTTTCTTGATGTAAATGTGATGTCTCCGTGTTAAAGTACAATTGCTAATGGATTCCTCCCACATTAACATGAACGACTGCATACATTTCCAGGAAAACATGCTCACTGAACATCTTCCCAAACAGTGTGATTTCTTCTCACTGCTGCCTCATAAATAGTCCTTAGAGTTAAGCATGCAGTCACATCTCGCCATACAAGCTGGATTCTGCATATACAGTAGATCAAAGCATTTAATTATGCACACTGCTTCAACAAGAATGCTCCAAACCACAACCTTAGCTGCTGCATACATGGGAACTCTCTGAGAGATTGGGCTGCTTAGCTCAAACTCTAAAGCATCCAAATGAAGCTGTAATCAGTTAAGTGCATTTTGACCCATAGGCTATGAGTTCTTTACCTTTTTGTCCTTGTGAAGCAGCACTGTCATTTCCAGCCAATCTGTGCCTCATAAGCAGTGTTAACAGAATGTTAATAAGATCTACTATATGAATATTTTCCCGTTAAAATTGACATCTCAAGCTTAAATAGAATGTAATTATTCACCTTTTTAAAGTAAAGAAAATACATTTTTTTATGTGGAAAAGAAATTAAAAGTGAAAATTGTAGCTTTAATGTGATTTGATATTCTTGAAGGTGGCAGTTGCAGAAAGCTATGACATCTTAAGGGTGCACATGAAAAAAAGTCAGGCAGGAAGTTGGTGTCTTCATGGTGAAATTTGAAGGAATAATGTTAGGAAGTAAAACATTTGCTGTGAAATCAGGCTAACAGCAAGAGCAGTTTTCCTCAACTTGAATTAAAAACCTTTCCTG